AATAATAATCCTTATAAGCCAACAGTACCAGCCTGTAAAGACATAATTATCATGTTTTTTTATTTAATAAATGTACAAATCTTATTTTAAGTGGTTTGATGTAAACAAAAAAATATTGCAAAAATACAAAACTTTATTATAGTTTCAAAAATATAAACGTAACATATATATCAAAACAGAACATTTGCTAAGAAAACTCCAAGTAATACTGAATGTATATGGCAGTGGCTACATTAATAATTTTATTTATTAATATATATATGTGTATAAAAGAAATGATTTTTTTCTTCTTAAGTATTAAGACCATCACATCATAGGTAACTTTAGCACCTCAAAGGAAACAGTATTTCTTTCTAATTCCTTAACACTAGCAAAACACAAAAATAACAATTTAAACTAGAAAACATAAAACATAAACTTCTTGAAACAGCATAAGTATGATACTTTTTATCAAAATATACGAAACCTTTATCTTGGACAGGTCAGACATTCATTTTGGAAACAGAAAAGGCCCTGATCTGTTAAAAGTATTTTTCTTTTTCTTTGTTTCTTATGCTTATCATAATTTTTTATAACATTTAGAGTCGCTCTGAACGCAATTATTTTAATAGTCAAAAATAGCCATTTAGGGCACCTTTGCTATTTTTTTCCTGCTATACAAAAAAATGCGAAAAACGGTCACAATTGTTCTCCAAAGTAATAAAGTTTAACTATTCGACTAATTATAAATGTTATAAGTTTTTAGAATAAGTACAAGAAACGATAAAAAACATAATAAAGCTAACTTTTTAGAAAACCTATTAAAATCCCTGTATGGTAGTCATTTTCATACTGTTATCAACCTCGCTCCCTTTGATTATTAACTCTAGAACTTCTCCACACTTCAAAACAGTACAAGATATTAAATAGTTTCATTTTCTTCATTTAAATGGGAAACGTAATTTCGGCGCTCAGGCTCTGATGCTTTTTGTTGGATTGCAGATAATTACATATGCCCATAATAAGTTCCCTAAATACAATGGGATTCAAATTATTTCCCAGTTGGTACAGAATGAAACAATTGCCAAAAGAAATCTGATAGACAATAATCCTCGCTATTCCTTTTGTTACATACTTGGTGCGGGCCATTAAAAGGTAAACGCGTATAAAAGGAACGCAAAAGAACAGAAGACGATAGAGCAATGCTACAGCAGAAAGGAGCGACAAGAAGTAGAACCAAAACCACATGATAAGGTAAAGTTTTTCGTTAAAAACATTCAGTGGCAAAATACAGAGTGCATCTCTCTTTTGTATACTGCCTGAGGAACCATAACTGTTATATGTGCACTTTACTAACTTGGGGAATACCATCTTCAGCGGATCTTCCCCGTTCATCAGATCAGTAAAAACATGCAGTCCTGAAAACTGGCCACTAAGAAACCAATTTGTTAATACAATTTGGGAAACCTACAAACAGATATCAATTTTAGATTTCTTTACATGAAATTTTTGTAAGCTATCATAAGAATGCTAATAAAATTAATTGAAAATATTTGTGTAGTGTAACACACAAGATTTTATTATATTAAAATATAAAACTTACGACATTAATTAAGTTAAAAAGTTCACAAAAAAGAAATCTTATGGCATAAACATTGTGGCAATCTTTCCCATGTACAATATAATTTATAAGTCTATCTTTAGCTTCTTGATCCCAGTTTGAAGTAAGTAAAGGTCCTCCTAAAGTTTTAATTTTTCAAAAATAAAATTTGTATACATTTACATTTAATTATTTCTACCTAAATCTTTGGCTAGCATTTTAAGTCTACCCCCTTCCCAGTTTTTCCAGATATAGCGTGGTGTATAAAAGAGAAGAGCTTGCAGAGCAAGTACGATACAGATCCACTGGTAGTATTTTTGTTTTATAATACCCTCATCTGAATCTGCTGCCTCTGGTGTTTCTGTTTTTATATGGTCATGATAGTTGCCCAATCCTGGTAGAATTTCATCTAAACCAATAAAAAGAAATGACTAAAATTAATTCAATGGTGTTCTTGTTCGTATTTGAAAAAGTCTTGAACAAAATCTACTAATGTGCTGCATAAAAGAAACAAAACAGAAGAAACTGTACTAGATTTAAATTACGTACTTTCTAGAGTGTTTTTTATTATATGAGTGTTGTAAATCCAACAGTACGTATCGAACATATTATTGAATGTGCCGTCCATTTCGCAATCGATGGGATCACCGAAAAATTGTTTGGTCGTAATTAGAACTGAACTTACAACAAGTACAATTACTGTTAAACGATAATGTAACTTGAACACGAAGTTATCAATATGAACAACATTATTTTTAGCTAACGATTTGCAAAACTTAAGGAAGTCCAACATTTTCGCAGTTCTGATAACAGCACGTTTTTAAGAAATTTTGCAATAAATAAAAAATTGCAAAAGCCACTGCACAAATATTATCAATGTTGTTATTTATTAAATTATTAACTATTTTACCACTTTCTGTTAAAAAGTGCTTAAGCCGGTTACTTCAAATATGACATAAGTATTCAAATTTTCCGCTGATGAAGTATACTGAAATGACATTAACGAAAAACAAACTTTAAAAGACGGTAACATGGCCAACTAGCTAAATACCTGATACGTACGAAAAGTTTTTAACGCAACAAATAATACCCTTTTAAATATAAATTAAATACATACAAAAGACTAACTTTAATATAGCTTTTAGATTATACTTATTTGATACCATTAAACGAAGAGTATAAAAAGTGATCAAAAAGTAATTACAAGAACGCAAGAATTAAGGGTGATTACGATCAACAGGTGCTATTTAAATTCTATAAAAATAGGCAAATTTTCCTTTAGTAGTACAATTTCAGTTAAAAATCGGCTAAATGAAAATTAATACGGAATTGTTTTTATTATAAACGAATAATGAATAAATAATAATAAATTTGCATCTTGCTTTTGAAATTATTTCAATACTATAAAAGCTAGTTACTAGATACCATTAAGCTTTTTGTCATAATGAAAAATATATTTTTTTCAAAACTATCACGCAGGTAAACAATAACTTAAAGGAGTAATAAGACGTATTTTTTTGGTTAAAACGAATTTGCTCTTATTTCGTTAGAAATCATTTACTTTTGTTTGTAAAAATTGATACGAAAAAATAATAGTAGAACCCTTTTAACTCATAAACTAATCTGATACAATATTTTTGAGATAAACAACAGTAGTGATAGAATGAGTTCTTTTATATATAAAACAAGGAATTTTGTAATCTTCATTTAATTAAAAAAAATACATAATATTAACAATGTGTTTTAGCACAAAAAATTATACATCTTTAAGTTTTTTAAGAAGAATTTTAGCTCCTTTACTAGATTCCTTCTTAATGATATTTACATCAGATTTTAAAGTGTTAAATAATAAGTTTTTCGTTTCTTCAGTCCCATTTTCAAAAACGAAAACCAACAGAAAACATCCTCTACTTGTTTTAATCCAATGTTTTACCTGAAAGGTATATAAATAATTAATTATTTACCAATCACAAAGTTGTTTACCAATCATGAAGTTGAGTTTTTAATTGAAAAGCAAAGGTATTAGTAAATGTATTAAAAGAACTTTACTT